GAGCCTCTCCCGGGCCACCAAGCCAGCGTCGCCGGAGGCGGAGGGCTAAGCGGCCCACCCCCCATCCCCTGCCTCTTTTCCAAAGCAGCCGGATGAGTTCGGCAGAGAGGCTGCCGCCGCACGGGCGAGAATGTGTCGTGTGCGTCTGAGTTGCCCCAGGAGCTGGCGCCTTGCCACCAGTACAGTGTGGGCTCTGTGCGAGGCCGTGGGACAAATACATGACAAACAAACAGGCTGTGAGCGGATCTGGTGCAGATGGCAGCTGCGAGTGCCTCCGGGCGCCTGGTCCGGAGACAGCCTCTGGAATCTTCCGTGCATCTGGCTCTGGTCAAGGCAGCCTTACTGTTTGGCATAGGAATGCTCTCGCCTGGCCTCTGCTCTTGAACCTTCTCCACCAGCCCCTCTTTGGAATTTATTTACAGCTTCTCTGGGAGGTCTGCGGGACACCCCCCGGAAGCTCTGCTCAGAGCTGGCCGCAGGGACCCCAGGCCCGGGAGGAGCAAGCGGGAGGCCCCGCCTCCTTGGCTGGATGAGGGCTGGATTCCAAACACCGTCCCCACCATGGGGGGGGCTGTCCTTTGCCACACACATCTGAAGCACCTGTTGTGTGACAGGCCCAGGAGTGGGACACAGCAAGGACCCAGGCCAGACCCTGCCCTCGAGGTGTCCCCAACGCAAGGGCTGAGTGGTAAGAACATGCATCATAGATGAAGGCTTATACTGAGCACTTACTATGTGCTCAGCTGTTTAATAAACCCTTCTGCACCTCTCACTCTGTGCCAGGAGTTCAGAGTTATCGGTCCCCCTTGTAGATGAGGAAACCTCAACACACAGAGGTCACACGACTTCTCCAAGGGCACACAGCAGTAAGCGGCAGGGGCAGGAGTTCACCCCAGGCCTGTGCGGGCAGCACTGAACCATCTGCCACATGGGAATTGCATCAGCTACGGTGACAACTAACAGGTGAGCCCTGAATCCCGGAGAAATTCCCCAGTGGGCCCATAGAGTGGTACTGGATCTTCTGGTGGAAGCTGGAGGGACCATGCATGCCCCTCACTATGGCGAGGGGGTGATGAGGCGGCACACTGGGGAAACCAAGGCAGCAGCCAAGAGCCACACACTAGGAAGAAGCAGCCTGAGAGATCCGACAAACAGAAGCGAGTGGAAAAGAGGAGAAATGGAAGGAGACTGCTGCACCCGCCATCTACCTGTATTAAAAACACATAAACACACAGGACTCGGGAGCCAACTCTAGCTTGTCTGCAGGCAGACACCTACTCGCTGTGTGACTGGGGACAAGTGCCTTTAGCTCTCTGTGCCTCAATGTCCCCAAATATGAAGAGGATGTGATATGAGCACCCCCTTCAAAGGTGCTTAGCACGTGGCACGCGCTCCATCTGTAAGTGAACAACCACGGTACGTAGTTTACAAGGACACACGCAGACAAATCATCCAGGCGCGAGGCTGCAGATCCCTGTTGTCGGTGGGGAGAGGAGGAGAGGCGCGGGCAGTGGGGATAAAGGGAGTGTGTAGATAAATTAAGTTCAGAGGGGGCCCCGTGTGGCTTTGGCAGCGCACAATGAACCCCCCTTGGCACAGGTACCCATAAATCACCAATGACCCTGAAAATAAATCACCCTGCGTGATGGCCCTGGGCCTCATGCCTGGAAAAAGGCAGACGTTCCCCTCCAGCCCTGCAGCCCCCATGCTGGCTCCTGCTTGTCACCTGGGCTGGCCCAGGATGCCACCCTTCCCTTTCATGCCCTCCCCTGCCTTCCCTCCTGCCAAATGGTTCCTGAGGACCTACTATGGGCAACCCTACCATGGGCACAATTTGGCCTGAGTGACATGAAGATGCATTTGTCTCCTTTGTCAAGTGTATTCCTTCTTTCACGCATGCATTCCTTCTTTCATGCGTTCTTTAGTCTGCCCATGCCTTCACCACCTCATTCATCTATTTCCTCTTGGTTCATGTGGTCATTCCCTTAAAATATGCCTCAAGTCCGCTCTGCATGCCAGGTTCTCTCCAGGTGCTGGGGAGCCAGTGTAGACGGGAAGATATGGCAGGGTCCAGTCTTGGACCTCGCAGTCTGTGAGGGAAACGGTCAACACCTACCCAGACAACAATGACACAATGGCACACTGGGCTGGGACCATGAAGGACCCATGTGGGTTACTAAGCTAGGGACCAACCCAGGGCATGGGGGCGCCTATTGAGACAGAGTGATTAAGGAAGGGGGACACCCTCAAGGAAACCTAAAGATGCATCAACTGTCCTGGGAAGACCTGAGAAATGGAATGTTCCACACGGTGGAATCATCTTTCCACACTTTCATCCATCCATCCATCTGTCCATTCATCCATCATCCACTTACTCATTCTTGTCTTTATTCACTTGTTTGTTCAATATGTAAGACAGCTTGGTCTACTTGGGAAAAATTTGTTTGGAGCCACATAGGTCTGAGTTCTGATTGCAACTTCCACACACTAGCTAAATGGCAGAGCAATGTTACTTATCACTCCATGCCTCAGTTTCTCCACCTGTAGAATAGGGATAACGATGTCTAATGGGAGATTGGCTGTGAGGATGAACTGAGATGAGGGTTCATGAGGGCACGGCAGATGTTCCATAAATGGAGGCTATTGTTTTGGTCCAGCAGCCGGTCGTTAGTGTTTGTCTGCCTTACGTGGGGAGGGACATGTGACAACCAATCTCATGGCTTGTCGGCTTGCTCTGGCTCCTCCAATCAGGAATACTGGGACACACCGATTATCTTTTCTGAGACCCTATTTTTTTCCACCCTATTTCTTTAAATAAAGAACACTGAGGCACAGGGAGATTGTTGATTGTTCAAGGCACCCCAGGGAGTGGCAGAGCTGGGGGGACACCCCAGGTGTTTTTACCCGAATCTATCTGCCCAGGTCACTTGTCATACCTCTGCAGGTTTCATTGGCAATGAAAACTGGCCAGTGCCATGAGGCCCGCTGGGCCATCTGAGGTTCCACCAGCAGGTGGAATGGTCAGCATTTAAGTCCTGCTTTGGGGTTTCTGTTCCAATTGCTCATGGCAAACAGATTTCCTAAAAATGACAGTGGCATTCTCTGGGTCCCAGCTTGGAGGGCTCCTGTCACATAATATGGAGAGGCTTTGTCAGGTCACCCAGCTGGGAAATGTCTGGCGTGACCCTGAGCCTTGCCAGAGACCGAGAGCCTTTACCTTTAGCTCCAGGCCTGCTGCTGTGTGTCCTGAGCTCATCTAGCACATCTGAGTTTCTGCCTGGCCTCTGTTTCATGGTGCTATCACCTTGGAGTCATGAGACATTTCACAGCACAGGGCCTGTTCGTGCTTGGTGTTCACCAAAACGTCGTTGGACCTGGACTGGCACCTAGCACCTTGGGCAATTTCTTTAATGACAGCTGTCGATAATGCTGGCCTCCTGGGATTTGTTTTTAAGAGCATATGGTAAGTTAATGAGAAGGAAATGAGAGCTGGCATTTATCGGGCAATCTCTATGTGCCCCCGCACCTCTCCCCTTGCATTTTACATATATGATTTTAGTAAATCCTCATATTTTAATTAGTATGCAATTTGGCTCCAAGAAACAAAAAGTCTGACTAACTATGGCTTAAGCAATAAGCCATTAAATTTCTCATGTGACAGGAAGTCTGAAGGTGGTGGTTCCAGGTTTGGTTCAGTAACAACATAAAGCGCCCAGGACTCAGTTCTTCCTCCTGCTCTGCCATCCTCAGTACATCGGCTTTTCAGTCTCGGGTTTGTGTCTCATATACCCAAAATGGCTGCTGCAGCTCCAATCATCACATTTGCACACAAGGAAAGAGGAGGATGAGTAGAGGCATTCTTTCTCTTCTGAGAAAGGAAATCCTTTTCTAGGAGTCCCCAGCAGATTTCCCGTTGTGTCTCATGGGTCAGAGGCCCATCCTTAGGTCAACAAATGAAGAACTCATCAGTGTCACCTCTTGTGGCATCATATCTAGGGTGATCATAAACCCCCTCCATGGACACAAGCCCGCTGCCACCTCCAGGCAGCCACACGTGCTTCAGCATCCCCTTGTTAATAAACTATGGGAAAGGGAAAGAGGAGTCACTGTTACTTAAACTGTGGGGGAGCGTCTTCCTACTGAGGCTTGGGGACAGGAACTTGCCAGGTGTGAGAGGATCCCTAAGGACACCATCGCGGCTGAGCTTGGTGCGTGCCAGGGAGAGAGGAAGCAGGGTTCCGGGAGGCAGCTGGCCCCAGAGGCCGCGCCAGGGCCGGGGCCATGCTAAGTGCCACAGGCAGGCTGCGGAGAGTTGCTCCCGGGAGGTGACCCGTGGGTGCCATGGTGCCATAACAGTCTAAGGATCACTCTGGTTGCCCCGAGACACGTGGATGTGGGGGTGGGCAGGGAAGCTGGGGGCCGTCAGGAGGCTGTCGCAGAGGTGCACGAGGAGAGGACGGGGCTGGTCCCCTGCAGGGCAGACCCTCGTGGGAGACCCCGCATCTCCTCTGTCACACCAGGAAGAGGCTCCTGTGACAATGATCTAGCACCCGGCAAAGACCAGAGAAGAGAACCCCATAACTTGGTCCCAGAAGCTTTCCTTTGCAGTGAAGGTGATGATGATATCTTCAGCCTCGGGGCCGATTCCATTCATGAATTCCTATCATTTCTAGATCATGGCTGGACTGAAAGCCATCCTCAGTAGCTTGTAGCTCCGAGCTACTAGGGAGAAAGACGGCAAATGGAAACCAGGAGGAGGAGCAGCCGAAAGAAATGAGAGGGAGTTGATTCTCCGCTGGGAGCCCTTTCAAAGCCTCTGCAGCTGCCCCGGGGTAACAGGATCTCTGCCTCCCGCCCGTCCCCCTCCCTACCTTTGTGAGCTACCTGGCAGGGTGAGCCCGGCTCCTCTGTGAGAATTTCACACCCCGTGGTGAAATCACAGCCCTGTAACTTTCCCTTTAAGAACTGTCAGAGCAGGGGAGGCCGGCCAAGCCAGGGCTGGAGGTGGGGACAGAGGGAAGAAAGAAAAAAAAAGAAAGAGAGGCAGGAAAAGTTTTTTCAGAGGAAAATGCAGGGTTTGTCCTTAACCCTGACGTCAGATCTTGCTTTAATAAAACCCCCCCAGGGCCGCGGAAGAGGCATATCTGGGGCTCCTGATGGGCCAGGCCAGTCTGGGCCCAGCTCCCCCGAGAGGTGGCCGGATCCTCTGGGCTCTCGCTCGATGCCTTTGCCACTGACTGCCAGGCATGAGGTGGTTCCTGCCCTGGACGCTGGCAGCAGTGACAGCAGCGGCCGCCAGCGGCGTCCTGGCCACGGTGAGTCCTGCCCGGAGGGGCTCAGAGGAGACCCAGCTCCGTGCCCCACCGGGTGCTGCTGTTGGGGTCTGGTGGGAGGATGAGGAGGGCAGAGAAGGTGGGGCAGGAAGTTGCCCACTGGGGGGCAGAGGCGAGGCCCAGCGTGAGGAGTGGGGCTGCCCGGGGTCTGCAGAGGCTGGCAGGGCAAGGAGGAAGGGGCAGCCCTCGGGGAACAAGCCACGGGGTCCTGCACGCCCTCCCTCCCCACCTGAAATAAAGCAGAGAGAATGGGGCACTCCAGGAAGCTGGGCGGTGGGGGCTTGGGCTCCAGACCCGGCTTTGCCCAGACTGGCTGTGTGGCCTTGGGCTGGTCACTCACCCTCCCGGAGCACCACGGAGTGAGGAAGTTGTTAGGAGAATCTTTGAGTTTGAAAACTCCAAGGCTCCAAGCATTGGAGATACTACAAGGGTGGGAGATGGAAAAAGCGAGGCAAAGTTGGAAAGGAAAATGCCAGCTTTCAACACAAGCTCCTCACTCGAGCGCACGGCGCTTGGAGTGATTTCTAACTCCCGCTGCCGCCGCCTCGGGTTTGCACAGGCTCCGCGGTGGGTAGTGTGCACACTCTGGTCCTGCACGCGAAGCCTGCTCTCCGGTTGCAGGAGGGCCCACCTGCATCCCAGGGCACACCAAGGACAGGGACAGAGGTCTAAACCTCCAAGAAGCCAGGGGACCAAGACACGTGGCAGCACAGAGCCAGCTGCTGGGGCCGGGCGGGAAAGGCAGGCGGGAGGTGGGTACAGGGTGGGCAAGAGGTGGGTAGCTGGGCGGGGTCCGGATCCAAGACCCCGCAGCCCCAGCCAGGGCCTGCTGCCAGCTGTAAGACGGAGGGGAGACAGCAAGCGGTCCTTATCACCAGCTTACACTGCTGGCTCCCTTGGGGATTAATGAACCCCCTTCACAGATGAGCAAACTGAGGCTCAGGGTTAAGCTACTTGCCCATGGCCCCAAAGACACTGGGTCTGCTTCACCCAGCTCTGAGGCTGCGAGCCCCTGGCTAACTGAGAGGTGGTGACAGGTGTGCCCCCAGGGATAGAGTCTGCCATGGTTAAGCCCTCCATACCCTGTGTGGTGCCTGCCTATAGCTGGTGCCGACCCACCTTCCAGAAATGATATTAGCTCTGTTTTACAAATGAAACAAATGGAGACTCAGAGCAAGTGAGGGACTTGCCCGGGGTCTCACCATGAATAAGTGGCCAGGGCTCAAACTTAGATCTTGCGGTGCCAAATCGGAACGTTTCTTCCAGAGCTCTCCTATAGGGGACGCTGAGCATGTCCTACCCCAAGGAGCCGAATCAGCCTTTATTTCTTTCCGATGCTGGGTGCAGCCGCGCCTTTATCTGGGCCCGGCTGTGCAGGTTGGGACGTCTGGGAGGGCAGGGCGTGGATGGAGAAGAGGTGAGGGCTGCAGGGCGGCCGGAGTCTGAGCGAGGAGAGGAGGAGGGAAGCTTAAGGCAGGGTCCAAGTGCGCTGGCGCCCCAGTTGCCTCCCAGAGCAGCTGGCGCTGGGACACGTGGAGGACAGAGCCGGGGGCTCGGCCAAAGGAGACCCCAGGAAGGAGCCAGCGGGGAGCAGAGGGCCCCAGGCCTGGGAGGGAGGGACGGCTCCCGGAGGGGCTGGGGCAGGTGCCTCTCCCAGACCACACAGCCCAGCGCTGGCTTCACGAACCAGGAGCTCCCGGGACAAAGGCACGGCACTGGGCTCTGCACCCTCCCATCCCGCCGTGGGCTGGGACTGACAGAAAGCCGTGAGTCCGAGTCCGCTCAGAAAGCAGCGCCTGCTGCCCAGGCGCATTCCACGCATAGCCTCCGCCCGACACGGAAAGGACTCGGCCAGCAGGGCCCGGCGGGACGTTACCGGAAAAATGCTTACAAATTCCTATGGAATTCCTATGGAAGAAAAAGTATGTGAGAATTGCCAAGAAAATGTTGAGGAGCTAGAGTTGTGAGGGAGGACTGAAAACATGCTGTGAGGTTCCGGAGGGGGAGGAGGCAGACGCCAGCTGGGAAGAGCTCAGTCTAGCGGGCAGGTGGGAGCGTGAGCTCAGAAGGAGCCTGTGCACGTGGGCTCTGATGTGTGCTGTGGGCGTGGCGCGGCCAGCTCTGACTTCCCCCTCTTTATTCTCTTCTTCCTTCGACATCTGTGGAGTGTCCGCCACGGGCTGGCAGGAAGGGACTGCTAGGTTTAGTGAGTGCTGCCAAGCGCTGTGCCGAATGTCGAATGCTGTGCAGATATGCACATACGACCTATCTCAGTTCATCCAACAAGCGTGTATTACACACAGCCTGAAATTCCCATAACAACACTATTAAGCAAGTGTAATTACCCACCTTTATAGATGCAACACAGAAGCTCAGAGAGGGTAAGTAATTTGCCCAAGGTCACACAGCTAGTAATCAGGGAGCTGATGTTTGAACCTAGGTCCAGCTCTTTGCAACATAACCTCCTGCCTCCCTGATCCACGTACTTGTGCAGAAATGAGAAGCAGTCCCTGTCCCTACAGGCTATCAAGGTAGGTGACAGGGGCAAAGCATTCCAGGATAGACAGGCTGGGACGCAGGCTCTGCCACTGGCTGTGCCAGCTTCGGCAAGTCCCTTACCACTCTGGACCTCACTTTCCTCATCTCTTAATCGGGACTAAGACCTCACCCCCACCAAGCTCCCTGCTGCGGGACGTGAACACCTGACTGTTTGAGGGAAACCCTCAGAAGCATCTCATTGGGCAAACACATGCTGCAGTGACAAATTCTTGGGCTAACATTGGGGCTGTGGTGGTCTGTGTGCAGGTCTATAGGTGACACCCGTGTCCTCTCTCCCATATCAACATGTATGGCCATGCCTAGCTATATAAGCATATGTGTGTGTGTGAATGTGCTGTGTGTGAGAGTATGAGCCTCGCATGCGGGTCAGGACACTAACTCGTTCTCTGCTCCTAGAACCTACTGCAGAATAACGTGGACCTGGGTGTGTGGCAAAATACCCCCTTTAAATAAGAGAGAGAACATAAACACTATGCCTTTTTTACACCTCCCGTTTAGAGTTGGAATCTGAATGAGCATTTCAAACCCCACCCAGGCCCCGCGGCCACCAGCTCAGAGCCTCTTTGGGCTCCTTGAAGCCCCTGCTCCCGGCTCGGAGCCCCTCCCACCCACAGCTTGTCCAGGATGCTGGCACTAAAAAGCATTTTCCCCTTGGCGTGGCATTTGGCGAGGGAGTGAGCACGGGAGCAGGTCTCCACGCACCCAGCTCTTTGGAAGACAAAAGGCTGCCCTGGGGGCTCCTCAGCAAACCCACCCGCCCACCCCCAGGAGAGTGCCCCTCCCCCGTGCCAGCAAGGCAGCCAAATGCCAGGAGGCTGCCTTTGGCTTTGTGCAAACAGCAACCCTGGGATCCTCCCAGGACTCTTCACCGTCTCTCTGGGCAGCAGGGAGGTGTTAGCTCCACACCCTGCGAGCTCAGACAGGGGAACAGGAAGGCAAAGCAGCTATAGTGCGGGTGGGGACCTCAGCCCAGGCAGCAAAGCAAGGGTTACCATGGAAGTCTTGGAGTAAGACTGAACACGTTTGTTCGCTAGTTCGACAACAGCATGGAGCTTCCTACATCCCCAGGATGTGGCTGATGACAAGGCTGACACTGATCATGTGCTGGCTTTGCTCTGGGCACAGCATCCTCCCACACGAGGATGGGGCAGGTAGTACTGCACCATCTAGCCCAGTGCCCTGCGTCAGTAGCTGCGTGCAGCCGGAGCTCACTGAGCACTTGAAAGACACGCTGGAAGAGTGAGGTGCACACCAGATTTCAGACCCTTATTATGAACACAAGAGCATAATAGTCTCATTAATAAATTTTGTACATTGACTCCATATTGAAATGATACTATTTCGAATATACCATATTAGGTTGAACAAAATATATGATTCCACTAAATTTCACCTGTTTCCTATTACTTTTTAATGTGGCTACTAGAAAATCTAAAATTCCTTGTGTGGCCCATTATATTTTACTAGATAGTGTTGGCCCGAAAAGACACAGATGTGCTCAGAGGTATGATAGTAGGCTGGCGGGGGTGGAGGGAGGGGCAAGGGCTCATCCCAGAGTGCGGCTTACTGCACCCTCAGGCAGGTAACCCAGCCTTCCTGAGCCAGGATCATCTCCATAAAGAGGGATATGTTAAGAGTGGCTTCTTGGGGTTCTTGGGAGGAGTGAAGAACGAAATGGTAATAAAATACGGGAAGCTCCAGGAATACCCAGGGGACATGATTCCACTGTTGCAAGAGCAGAGCGGGGGAATCACAACCTCAGAGGCAGCTCCAGCTGCAGACAAGGCCCAGGTCCAAGCGAGCAGGGGTTTCTGAAGACCCCAAGCTTGGCCCCAGGTGGGTGGGAGGAGGGCCAGACTAGCTGGTTCCAAGAAGGACCCCATGTACCTGCACTTAACCTGCACCCAGGTGATTCTTGTGTGCACTTGATTTCAAAAACCAGTGAATTAGACAGACTGGTCTCTCCCCAGCTCTGACATTCCATTAATCAGTCAACTCTCCTCCTCCTCCTCCTCCCCACTATGAAAGAAGAAAGGGAGACAAAGTGAGGGGAGAAGAGACTGGGCCTCTCAAAACGTGAATGATGGGCATTCCAGGGCAGGCGATAAAATCTGAGCCCGCCCACCCCAAGGTCTCCAACGTGGAGGCACGTTCAGGCTTGGGGCTTTGTTTGTGGATCTGCTAAATCTTGACTGGGGGTGGGTGTGGGTAGGAGAAGTGGGGGAAAATGAGAGCCCAGGCCCAAAGGAGGAGAAGGGAAGGGTCTGGAGTAGAGAGAAGAGACGTGCTGTGAGCCCGCCCAGGGCTGGGTGGGGTGGAGGGGGTATCCAGGGGCAGAGGAATGTCTGAGAGAGCAGGACTGTTAACACTGTCCTTGGAGCAAGCGGTAGACTCCTTGCCCGGATAGCCACAAGACCGAGGGA